GACTCTGCAGCAGATGCTGTGCAAAGAACTCTCTTTTCCTCCCATTTTTTGATATAGTTTACCTGGTTCATCTTTATTACTGGGAATAGAAACCACATACAAATGGCAGCATAATACAGCTGGGTTTTTAAAACAAAGTAACTCAGCAGCAGGTGGAAGAGTGAATCCACACAAAGGCAAAAGGCCTGCTGAAGAGATGGCTAAGCTTTGCTGGCAAGAGCCAGTGCCCTGAAGATGAGAATGCAAACACCTCTCTGGATGTTTGATGTTTAGAGGGCACAGACAGTTATCTGCAGCTGCACACCCCACCTGAGCTGCTCTCTGGCTCCTGCAGATTTTTAAAGGTTAAAAGACCTAAGCAGGTGCCTTAGACTGAATAGAAATTCCATATTGAGAGGTATTTTCCTAGGGGAAAAAAGAAACTGTTGAAAATGGAAATCACTATAGAAAGTGACACTGAGAAAAGACCAGTGGTCTCTGACTATCTGTCAAAGAGAGACATGCAGATGTCTCCTACAGGAATAAGCTCTGCCTGGATAAAAATAAAGTTTATTACAAGAAGAATATTTTCTGGAAACCTTATATTTAATCAATGAGATCTGCCCCGTCAATTGTTCTGGTCTCAGAGCTCCCTGCATGCACTGCCTTACTTTTGCTCTGGGCTCTCAGGCCAGGAGCTCCCATTCCACATGCATCAGGCATCACCCCAGTCTTCATTGCTTTTTTGCTTAAACACTTTAGAGGGATTCTGCCTGGAGCCACCTGAAAGCTTCAGACTTGTTGAGCTCTCTTCCAAGGACAAGTTGATTAAACCTTGTTACACCAGACTATGATTACTGCTGGCTGCTGATTCATTCCACTCTGTGATGTGTAGTCTTGGTCACAGGTCCCTGCATTATAAGGCATGCTCTTCTACCATTTTGCTGTAGCAACTGCAGCTTGTACAGATGAGTGTCAGTCCTAAAAATTGAACTTATAAAGACCAGGGACTGTTGTCAGTAAGTTGCTTCTAGGGAATTGCCAAAACAATTTAGCAATCTTCCATGCACTGCTCATCCTTGTAGGATGTTTGAAAAACTGTGTATTAGTTATTTGTGAATATATTAAATCCTAGTGCCAAGACACTAAAGTGATGGGCTAGATAACACCCATACCAATGTGGATAACACCCATACCAATGCATTAAATCCTCCTCGAGCCTAACCACAGTCAGAACTACACTGACATAGCAATTTCTCCCTGTGCTGTTTTGTCTTTTCCGGGATTCCTCAACAGCATCTTCTTCCTCAGGCTGTCAGCAGTTCGACTGGCAGCATGGTGTGTACAAAGTCACAGTGCTACATCTCACCCCTCTGGGTACCTGAAAAAAAACCAATCCAGACATTTGTGTTCAGCTGTCAGCTAGAAGTATCACAGCAACTCGAGTGATGCCCAGGCAGGATGACGTAATCAGCACATTGGTATTTCTTACCCCAGTAAACTCTACCTGCCCCCTGTGCCAAGAGCAGTCAGTATGATAGATGCTATTAGGAGAGTGATGAAAAGCATGAAACAAACCTTAAAGACATAGAGAATTTCCTGTCACAAAATGACAAAGCTCCTTGGCTCTCGTGCTTGTCTTTTCCTGAGTAAGGCAGGATAACCACTTTTTTTGGGCATATTGCCTGCCCAGGATTATGCCAAAGAGAATCTCCAGGGAAGGCTTGTGACAGTCATCCTGCAGATTTTCTCTGTATGTCAGCACAGCTGTTCCCATCCTGACCTACTAGCCCAATTTCTTGGTGAGTTGTTACCGAGAGTGCTACTGCAGGCATTCCAGAAGTGGAGGAGTCCAGCTCATGGCAAACGCTGCACTTTCACCCCTTTCTCTCTGTGTCTCCCCATGACTGCACACAGCTAGCTCAGGTCTTGCTAATGGAGAAAATGGCATTGGTCCTGGACAAGCCAAAAGACCCACACCCTTTTCCTTTGAACAGTGTGCAGTCAAGGAATATCCAGTGTTTTGCCATATTTAGTACAATCTCCAAGACAGAGGAAAGTGTCTGTACTATATCAGGTAGGGACACTCCTGATCCCTTCTGTGCCGTTAAACCATCACTTGGCTCTAGTTCCGTACTTTTTAAGCTCAGCATAACTCAAGGCTTCACTTTGCAGTTCTTGAAGTTTGTTCAGCTTCAGTTGTTCAGCTGTTTGTCATCCACAGTCTCCTCCCCTTCTGACAAGAAGCGATCTATCTTTACTTCCTTATTGAGAAAACCCCTGTACTTTCCTCTCTTGCTTACTATCTTTCACTATCCTTAGCAGTAATGACTTACAAGCAGGAAAATGATTCAAGACTGCAATGTTTATGAAGTCAGAAACAGTCTAAACTTTTGAGATTACTTGAAGGAAAATCAGATTTTATATTCAATACACCTAGGAGAAATAACCCTTATCCATTTTTTGCTGCATCAGAACCAACTGCAGCTTTGTCACCACCACACAAAAAAGCAAGTGATGCATAGCACTATAACCTGTGATCAGTGTCAGCTCAATGGATGCCCAGGACAGTGCAATAATTGTTTTGCAAGACTATTTTGAGGACATCCTTATTAATTTGTACCAGCAGAAACGGAAGTGACATGGAATGATAGCTGTTTTTCTTTCTTTGGAGATGAAGTACACTAAAGAACATGTAGGAAGAAGAGCTCACTTCACTACATCACTAAAAGTGTTTTCAAATGTTTTATGAAGATGTACAAGCATCCAGGAGCCACTGTGCACACAGCAGCAACTCACATGTATTTCAAGACGCTCAGTTCTGTAAGCTTTGCTACCTTGCCTGAGATGAGTGGAAGGGAACCTGAGACTGACAGCTCCCCAAAAAGGATGCCAGCTCTAAAGGGTGGAGCTGGGAGAAGCTGAAGCTGTTTGGCACACAGGTATGTGAGTGTTCTGTGCAAAGGTAGGAGAACTCAGTCCTCTGATGGGAGCTGCTGGACTGAGGCACCTTCCCTTGCTGAAGCAAGTGTCTCAGAAGTGCCACCTAGCCAGCTGTCAGCTGAATGATGCCTGGTGCCTCTCTTCCCTCCTGTCTGCCCACTGCTGAGCAGCTCCTTGTTTGAGCCTGGGATGGCAAGGAATGGGAGAAACTGCTTTCGAACTGTTTAATAATAGTGATGGTAACCTTTGACCTTACTGAATAGCAGCGCTTTTGACCTTTCATTTGTTAAATAATGCAACCACTTACTTCCCGATCCTTATCAGTGTTTAGTAATTGGGGTCAAGACAAAGGGGAGCAGAGTTATCCACCAGACTTTACTGAACCAGGAAGAATTTCCTAAAGCTATAGATATTCTTTTTGATAATCTTCAGTCAGGGCAGGCAAAGACTAGAGACTAGGTGGCTTAGAAGATCCATAACAGGCTAAAGAGCCTCTCTGCTGTTGGCATCTGGTTTGAATCCAGCTGTGGTTGACAGTGGCAGAAATTCATTATGATCCTGGGTTGCCTCTCTGACTCATGTGAAATGAGTTTGGCTTGCATTTCTGCTGTTTACTGGTCAATCGTAGCCCCAGCATAAAATGCTAACACACACTTCTAGAGAAATCAGTGATTAAATGAGTCTACAAAGCCTGAAAATTCCTATTCCATTGAGCAAATCGGGCACAGGTAGGTGGCAGTGGTCTGCGGTCACTCCTGTGTGTCCTGCCTAACTCGTGCCAAAGAGAAGGTGGTTAATCTTCAGGAATCTGAGTTGCCTTTTGTACAGGGTAAGTAAAGCTAATGGGTCAGCTTGTGTGCTGTACAGCCCATTAAACAACTCACTTGACAAAAAATCAGGTGACAACCGTGCCAGGATCAGTGTTTTTCTTAGAAGTGAACAGGAAACAAATGAAAAAGAAAGAATTTATGACTTTACAATGGATTTAAATGTAAGTGCATGCATGTATTTATTTATATAATGCACACATATAAAAGCTTAAATTTCCTGAAGACGTCAAATAGAAATTCTATTTGTCTAAGCAGCTGCACAATCTCATTACTTATTTATTGTATTTTGTGTTAACACAGACGGCAAGATTTTTAGGGCAGGAGCTGTTTCCTGAATGTCTGTGATTCAGCAAAATGAGCTGCCAAAGAGCAATCCAAATGCTGTAATTTATAAATAAGCCATTTATTTATAGAGGTACACAAGCTAGATAAGATCACAGTATTATGGAATGCTAAGGGATTGGGATGGACTTTAAAGATCATCTAATCCCAACACCTCCCACGAGATCACATTGCTCAAGGCCTTACCCAACCTGGCTTCGAGCACTGCCAGGGTTGCAGCTTCCACAGCCCCACTATGCTCATGGTAAAGATTTCCTTCCTAGTATCTAACTTAAATTTCTTCTCTTTCAGTTTGTACCCATCACTCCTTGTCCTATCACTAGATTCCGGAGGAGGAGTTCCTCTCTGGCTTCCCTGTTGGTAATGGAACGTTGCTATGAGGTCTCTATAAAACCTTCTCCAAGCTGGAGAGTCCCAGCTTTCTCAGCCTGTGAGCCTCACTTTCTCAGAAGTCCCCCTTTCTTCATCGGGGAGGTGCTTCAGTCCTCTAATCAATTCCAAGTCCTCCTCAGGATCTGTAAGAGTGACATTGTCAGCAGTGAGATTACGACAGCAAGCAGAAGGGATTTTTTTTCCCTGCTGTCCATGTAAGAAATAAAGCAAACGGAGCCGTTTGTGGTATCCCGGAGCAAGGCATTTGTACGCCCGCCTGCGTTTTGGACTTGGTTTTGGATTTAGGCCTCTCGAAACCGAGGAGCACAGCGCAGGCAGACACCCACAAACACATCCTCACTGGGCTGCTGCTCCTCAATGTCTCAGTGTCGGGGAAGGGCGAGCCCAGCCCGGCACCGCCGGCGCTGCCCGCCCCGTCCCTCGCTGCGGCGGCGGAAGCGCGGAGGGACCCCGGGCGGGCGGGCCCCGGGCGGGCCGCGGTGTCCCGGCAACAGCGCGGGGACGCGGAGCGCCATGGAGGCGCAGTCGCTGCCCGCGGCGCTGGCGCTGGTGGCCGGCGGCGGCGTGGGGCTCAGCCCGGAGCGGCGGGCGGCTTTGGGCGCCTCGCTGCCGCTGGTGCAGCGCGACTACCGCTTCGAGCGGGTCTGGTTCTGGGGCTGCATCCAGGGCCTGCGCGGCGCCTACTACATCGCCGAGGGGCTGGGCCCCGACCGCGCCGCGCCCCGCTGCCGCCTGTACAGGTGCGGGGCCGGGGCTGGGGCTGTGGGATCGGGGGGTGCTGCCCGGCTCTCGGGGGGAGCCTCGCTGTGCCCTCAGGGGCCTGGCGGAGCTGCTCCGAGCCCTGGTCTCTAATGGGCTCGGCCCTGAGTCGTGCTTGTCGTTGGCAGCTTGAACTGCTTGGACTGGAGCCTCCTGACGCCGGCCACCAAGGAGATGCTTGCACTGGCTGAGCAGGTGAAGGGCCGCTTTCAGGGCGATCCTTCTTTTGAGTACAACTTGTCTGAGATAAACGCAGAAGCTGCTGCAAGACTGATGGAAAGTGGGAAGGAGGTAAATACAGCAAAACGCTTTCGAACTCTGGTCACTACATTTGCGCCCCTCGCACTGGACAGGTGGTGGCTACTCCTCGTTTGTAATGAGCAGCATGAGCATGTGGTCAGGCAAAAGATACACAATTTCCTCTTGGTTAGAGCACGGTGCTTAGAACACCAAAGTTGCTGTTCCAATCACTCTATGGGATGTTCGCTTAAGAGTTGGATTTGATGATCCTTATGGGTCCCTTCCAACTCAGAATATTCTGTAACTCTGTAATCATTGCTGTCATTGTGTAGCAACAGCTTCTTGATTGGACTCTTACTGCAGTTTTTGTTGACAGGCCTCAGAAATAGTAAATATCCCTTCTGCTTTATTATGCACAACTGGTACAGATCCTCACTGTGGTTTCTGAAGCTTTAATAGTAACTGCAGGTAGCATTCTTTGTAAATGAAGACAAGACATAAGTAGGGGAATTGAGAGGAAGGAAAGAACAGATGAAGGGATGGATAGTTAGATCTCTGGTGGTTCTAAACTGTCTGCTCCTAGCCATGTTTTCTGTCATCTGTTAGGAGAGAAATGTCTTTTGAGGTCCTCTTATTGCCATTAGACTCCAAGATGATGAGTCCCTTGTCACCTCAAGTTTATTTTCAGAAATGAAAGCAAGGAAAGCCCAATATTTAAAATGTCCCTATTTTTCTTTAAAGCCTGTGATGAAGGAGGAGGCCCGCCTCATAGCTACGATAGAACAGATAGACAGAGAAGTTGGTATCGTCCCCCGGGGGGCATTTGTGAAGACTCCTCTTGGGTCTGTGCATGAAAACAGACACTTTGAAGGTAAATTCTGATTGTCTTTTATCAGGATCAACTGTACTTTGATCATAAAGGCTGCAAATTAAGATGACTTTCTCTAACTGATGTTTTGGTTTCAGTTGTTTTTTTTTTCCCCTGGATAAGATGAATAGGGAGGAGAGAATCCAGTGCCACTAATGTTCAGGTGCATGATTCAACTCTCAAAAGTGGGAAAGGAGTCAGTAATAGTCTGACTCATAAGATGAATCATTTGTCTGTATAAACTGTAGTTTAGCAATCACAGATGTAGTGATTTGTCCATTTAGATATAGGATATGACCAAATGGGCACAGAAAGTTGTCCTTAAAGTCGGTACCCATTGGTTATGTGGGACTGCAGTCAGAATGGTCTGCAATGCACAGCATCAGGGAGTGCTGACACCTGTTTCTGACAAGCCTTCTGTGGAGTCTACTGGAGAAAGATTGTGATTCTGTCCTAGATTGTGATTCTAGGCTGTGGGCATTAGAGAAACAAGGTTATACTTGATAGTATAACTCAAATGTTACCCTAGTTTATTTTGTATGTATTAATGTTCACCAATGGCTGTTTGCCATTTGCAGGTCTGTCTTTGGTGGAGGCAAAAAAGTTAAGTTCCTATTTCCATTTCACTGAGCCTGTTAACCTGAAGAATAAAACCCTGCTGGAAAAGGCCAACCTGGACCCATCCATCGACTTTCTAGATTCTCTGGAGCATGATATCCCACGAGGTAAAGGTAGCAGAATCAACAGATGCAATGAAAGGAAAGGCAATAGGGAAATTTGAGTAGCCTTGGAAACACTGAGGGGACTGGTGTGGGTTACTGTAGAGGTGGTATGAGAAATTTCTGTGAATCTATAAAGGAACTTTATCCTTTACTAAATATTCTAGTTACTTCCTGCTTTATGCAATTCTAAATTGATGCTTACAACAGAAAGATGTAAGTGTACCAGGGCTGTCACATCCTCACTACAGGTCTGACCACACTGCTTCAGTGCCATATTCTCTCCTGACTTCTGTAAAGCCTGTGACAACTGGTGACCCTATTGGGAGAGATAACTCCACCAGTGATAGAGGGAATTTATGTGGTTTGAAGTATTTCACACCTCTTGTTCCACCCAGTATTTATCTTCTTTATCTAAATGGGCTCTCATTAACACCAAGCTGATATCTCAGAGAGGCTGAATTCAAATGTTCCTTTGATAAACTGTGTTGGAATAGTCTGTACTCTGGCAGGATTATACACCGTGAAAGGAGAAAAAAATACAGGCATACCAGATTGTATCTTCAGTTAACATCTCTACTGTTCTGCTGGACAACTGCAAATATATTTAAAGTCTCTTCCAGGGATCCCTCTGGCAGGATATTTCTCTAAAGAGATGGGAGTGACTTGTTATTTGTTTCTATCTGGTTTTAGCTGATTTGCTGCAATTTTTTTATTGGACCAAGTGTTTTCATGTCCTCTGTCTAGGGAGACTCTCGGGAAACAATTCAAACTTAGATTTGTTATTTTATTCCAGTCCAGGAGTAATAGGATAAGATACTAGATGACCTGTGCCAGATGGAATTGAGTGGATGGACAGTGAATTGCCAGTGTTGGAAATAGCCTTAAAGATTCTCTCTCTCTCCTTTCCTCTCTCTTCTTACCCCCTCCTCCCAATCTTCCCTCTGGCAAGAAAAGAACTGAGAATGTGAGTTCCTGCCTGAATTCTGAACATTTCTGACAGAGCATAAACTGCTAAAATCTAAACGACTCTTCAACTTACTGGGAGTGCTTTTATGCAGTCGTTTTTCAGAGGTGTAGTCTGGAGAGACTGCACATTTTTACATACACCCTCATTGAGGTGGCCCTTTTGACTCAAAGCAGAATTGCAAGAGGGATTAGATCCTAGATATCTCCTAAGAAAATTTTAGCTGCAGTTTTGTATGGTAGTTTGAGTTTTGCTACTGCTTGTCTTCATGCTTCTCCCCCCCTTTATTCCTCCCTCCCTCATGGTAGGGAGACACACCATGTGTTAGACATGAAGATGGTGGTTTTGTTGAAGTCTTCAAACCAAATTTGACTTGTAGCTGTATTTTACCTGGTGGCAGATAGAAGATAGGGCTCAGTTGTGCCATTGTCATGATTGTGTTCCTATGGAAGCCTGATGTCTGTGTAAGCATGAACCTTTACCCCCTTCCCAGGTGGATGTTGCTGTTAGTGTAGATTTCTGTATTCTTAAAAAAGTTTCCTCTGAAAGACTACCTGAACTAAAATGCAGCTGGACGCTTCTTAGTGGAAGAGAAGATTCATCATGGTGCCCTGTGCAGCTCTGCCTGCTCTGTCCTGAATTTGGGGATGAGGTGAAAGAAGTAAGACAGTAACTGGTTACAGGACCAGCAAGGCATGTAGCCTCTCTAATTGCATTCTATCACATGCAGATAGAAGCTCTAACATTAAAGAAAGATCAACCCAGCTCCTTTAACAAGCATTCAGGTTGCCTAAAAGTACTGGTTGCTTGTGAAAATGTGATGGAAAAAAAGCCAGGACAGACTCAGGCTTTCTGCTGATTTTATCAGCATGGCTTTGCCAGAGTCACTCCTGGTTGTGAGATACTCAAACTCTGGTTCTCAGATTACTTTCCTGGAGCTCTGACAGTGCATGTTGGTCCTGACAGAGCAGAAAAAGTAGACAGTGCTTTTTATATTTACTGACATGTTGTTCATAGCTCTGGCAAATCCCTTCATTTTGACCCAAAGCTTTTCTTGCCTTTCCTGGTTAGATCCTGTCTTGAACAGTTATTGTCAGAGCAGAAGTAGGAATTCTCAAATTTATTGCATCTATAATTGTGACTGAAGCTAGAATTGTCTCTTTTCTCAATAAATACATAAGACGTGATCTGGGGGTAAGTGACATTGGAGTGAAGCTCCCAGCCTGCATTGGCTAAATTCCCCTAGCATCTTAAAAGACCTAAAGAACAGAGCTGAGAGATTAAGGGCTGATTTTAACCTGTCTAAAAGTAACAACTCTGTTGGAATAGTTTTCTCTATTAATTGGAGACTTAGCATCTGTGATGGCTGTCAAGGGGGTAACTGTCATAAGATATATGGTGTGTCATTATAGGAGAGCAGAGGTGTCTTACAGAATGGAAAGTTGGAGGCAGAGAGAACATTTTATATGACAGCTGAGAGGTGGGAAGAAAGGAAGTTAAAACTGGGTTGAATAAAGGCAACAATGGTAAAAGCAGAGTTTAGTGCAAAATTGGAAAACCTGGAGTTTTGTAACAAAACTGTCTGCCATTCTTATCTCTACCAGTGATATCTGTGGTGTTTGCAGGTTCCAGATTCTGTCAGTGTGTCTATCTATCAGGTTATCTGTGCACTTTAAAAGTTCAGAATATGTTGCTGCTCCTCCTTTAATCATTCTGTCTGTTTTTTCTTGGTGTCTCAGCTCCCACAGACAAATGGCTGACTTAGCTTTTTTTTTAAAAAATGCATTTAAAAAAATGATTCTACAGAAAAGTGGGAAATGAAAACCTTGTCTTGACAGCATGAACGTGGAGGGGCTGTGATACAGATCTTCTGTCACCACAGTATCAGATCATGCAATGCTTCATCCTGATCCAAATGGCCAGCTGGCCAGAACGTTGCATGCTGGGATCTGTAGGTTTTGCTGGCCATATGTCTGCATTAAAGATAAGCTTGTTTGCTCTAGTCTAAGCAGACAATCTGCTCAACTTTATGCACAATTAGATGTGGCCTTTCAGCTGCTGGCACATTGCCAGTGTTGTCCTTTCTGCTGCATGGAGTTTGGAACCCTGGACATAGTATTTCAGGAACTAGGGCTGTGGCAATTTTACATCTGCTTGTAGATAATGGAATGGCAAGGCAAATAGCAATAATTCCTAGCATGCCTTCAGCATTTTCAGTTGATGACTTAATGTTGTGAAGATATGAAATAATAGACACTTTTCAGGCATTGATAATGATGGGGGAAGCAAAAACGGAGGGGGAAGGTTGATTTTACTGTGACCCTGGTATCAGATGAGACTATGCCCCATTCTGCAAGGATAAAGAAAGGGGATGAGTGAAAGCCTGAGATACTAGTGTAGAATGGAAAGCTTGGAAGGAGGTGAAACAAGGGATGAAGAATTCAGTTCTTTGGCACTTTCAAACTGCAATTCAGAAAAGCAATAACTTGACTCTGAGGGTTTGTTAGAGATTACTGGCTCAGATCACTTTGATATGGAGATAAGGGAGACCAACAGAAGACTGCTAAAAACTGATGTAGGCAGGAAGGTATGTCTAGATAGGAAAAGATATGAGTGGAAATAGGATTTATATGAGAAGACTTTCTTCAAAAGTCATGACCCCCAATCAGTAAATAGCTGCCTTTGGCTTAAAACCTACCACAGTTCACTTGTAGATTAAGAGTAGAAATTAGAATAAAAAAAGACATATAAAAGGAAATGCAGAAGGTTTGGAATGATTAATGAGTGATATAAATTGGAATTTATAATGAGTAGAGAATGACAAAGGGAGCCAGAATAACTGGATGTCATGGAGTAGTCCGTGACAACGGTGAAGCAGATTTTTTTTAAACTATATTGAGAAGAAAAGAAAGCATAGTAAAGGTACTGTAAATTGTCACTAAATGGTGATGGTAAAAAGGCTGGTAAGCGTGTGGAAGGGCAGAAGAGCTCAATTTTTTTTCTGGTTTCTTTTTGGAAAGAATATGGACTTACATCAAACAAAGATAATAAAATATTGTTTCAGACAGTTTTCAGATTGTTTGCTAAGGGAGGGTAGAGTTAAAGAACATTTACTGTGGATCAAAAACATTAAAATGGCAGAGTAAGATAAGTTACTTCTGAAATCATTATCTCAGGAGACTTGTGGCATAATAATCTTTAATAAATCCCAGCATTGCAGAATGATTCCCCTAATTTTTATCTTCCCTAGCAGTTGTGATTCAGAATTCACTGAATGGGTGTGTTTCTGGGAGAGGTCAGAAAGGGACCAGTGCTTTGATATTCTTCAACTTATTTATAAATGATCTGAAAGTAAAGGGTTAGTGGAGAGACAAATAATGACAAGGGCAGGATGGATACATAGATCTGGAAAACTGGGCTTACTTAAATACAGTATATTTTGATGTACCTACCTGAAAAGTCACATGAGGAAAGTAAGGACTCTAAGTCAGACTTTGAGAATTGTATTTTAGAAACTGTGGCTCTGAAAGGAAATCCAGGCACAACCCACTGAACATCAGCTCTCAGGCTGATACTGAGACTTAAAAAGGTAACTTGATCTGCAGATACATAAACAAGGGTGTAACAACTAGGAACAGAGGGGAGACTTTAATTTTGTACTGTTAGTGGAATCATAACTGGATTACTGCACATTGCAAAACTGGAGAATTGCAGGGAAAAAAGTCACAAAATGATTCAAGGGCTGGTGAGAGACATAAACAGTTTGATCTGTTTATCTTGAGGAAAAGCCCGTGAGAATGGCTGTATTGCACTGTGTAAATACTTGGTGGAGTTTAAGTATTAGGTACTGAAGATCTATTTATTATAGCAGAGAAAGTCATAACAGGAATCAGCAGCTAAAACTTATACCAGAACTAAAATGGACAATGAGGTACAACTTCTAAGAGTGAAAAAATTTCCAGTTAGCAAGGATAATGGATGAACCTATGTCTCTTGGTATCTTAACATCATGCTGGATGTCTTCCTGGGAATTGTGTTT